ATGATGCTCACCAGATTGTTTTCCTGTTTTTATTATAATGCGTGTGGCGAAGCGCTGACATCACACGGCTGATCAGAAGGACCCGCCCCTCCCTGTCACCGCCTTCATTCATTGGTTACAGAGCAGAGCAGAAGCAGCAAACTCCAAACAGCAGCCCTACGGTGGGGCGGGGCTTCCCACCGGATCGGACCGGTTCTATTGGACGACCCGTCCAGAACCGTGTCAGCGAGGTTCCGAAGGGGCGGGGGCCAAGAACCCAGCGGCTGTTTTTGCACAAAGTTTAAAGGAACGGCGATTTTCTTAGCGTTTCTGCAGAAAGTGGGCGGAGCCTTTCCCTTTTAACCTGTGGAAGGTTAAAAGGGAACTTCTGCGGGAAGTCTAAGGGGCGGGGGGGCGGGGGTTCAAACAGGGAGCCGACGCCCCTACATTTATTTTCTAAAATATTTTTAGTTTTTAAGCTTGAAGACCTCACAGCGCCCCCTACAGGACAGCAGAGGGAGGTCTGCTATCGGCGCAAAGCTGGGGGGCTGTTTTAGGAGGGGTGGGGGGGTAGAGGTGTGGGGCTGTTATGGTGGGAGGGCGGGGCTCATTGGAGGAAACATGCCTTAAAATATGGAGCTGTTCATCAGTGTGGGCGGGGCTTAATCCTTCAGGTCGTCTGTTTGGAGTTTGCTGCCGATTCAGTCCCATTAAAAACGCTGGAGGGCGGGGCATAAAATGATGTGGGTGGGGTCATAGCTTAATGGGGGGGGGGGGTTATCAATGGGCGGGGTTTGTGTGGGTGGGTGGGGTTTTTGATTTTCATTTTAGGGTGTGGTCAGGGGGGAGGGGCTTAAAATGTTACGATTCTATTGTGTATATGGAAACCCCAGCTGTTCACTTTGACTGCAATATGATTTATGTTAAATAAAATATGAAATTGAACAACGCAGTGATGTCAGTTCTCACCCGCCGGGCGTGAGTCTCGCCCGCCAAGCGTGAGGGTCACCTGCCAAGCTTGAGGTTCACCCATACGGGTGAGACTCGCCCATCTCAGTCTCTTCACACGCTCTCACTCCATAGCCACATATTTTCATACTAAAAAAAATGACGGAAATTAAATCTCGACTCCATTCCACTTATTTATAACTAAAAACCCTATGCTGAGAAAAATCGACATGCCGCGTTAATTCCAGTCCATGTTTTTGCTCCAGCCCACCTATTATCTGCGCCAGATACTGGAAAAAAGGCCTGGATTTCTGAGCAGTTATGAGGTATATTATTAGAAATGTTATCTTATCTGGAATAAGATGATTGAGTTTGTAAATTAAGATTTTAAGCAATCTAGCACTTGAGTAAATCCGAACAAAACACACAACAGCTAGATTAAATTATCAATGTGGAGACTGAGTGTAGAATCACATCAAATGCTTTGTTTTCTCTATACCTAGTGAGCTTTTTTTTTATTATGGACGTAATTTCAGGAGGTGGGGGCGGGGGGGACATGTCCCCTGCACGTTTTCAAACATCTATTTTGCCCCCACCCCCCCAGCATTTTTTACTGTCCAAAAACAACGTTACGCTCCTGTACACCGACATTCGTCGAGCACTAGGACCAAGCGGAAAACCGCAGCACAAAATAGTTTAGTCCATGTTTTGTTTACAAATTAGGTAATTATTTCTCAGTCTAGTTGAATAATCTCCCGTTGGATTTTAGGATTAAATAAAGCAACAGAAATATCTAAATTCTTGTGTGTCATATACAGAACCATTGCATTTTATTTTTCCAAAGATCAGCCTCCTACACACAGAGAGGAGGTGCAGAACAGCTCAGTGATCCTGGATTCAGAGGAGGAGCCACAGGGATGTTCTTATTTTATTATTATTCATTTATCCTTATTATGGTCCAATAAATATGTTTGAAAACTTAATTTCTATCACATTTTCCAAAATTAATCATCCAGAGAAGTTCTGTCTCCTGTCATGGAGAGTTTTTATAGAATCTACAGCCTCCTAGAACATCTGACTTATTTAGCTTTTTGATCAATTGTAAAAAAAAAAAAAAAAATCTAATAACATGAATTAATTAAAATTTTGGCAGCCCCGACGACGAGAACTGATTTGATCTTCGTTAACGTTTTTGATCTTCCTGGTTTTAATAACCGGCTAGAAACATGAAAATATCTTTTCACTAAAGTCACTTCTTTGCTCATTAAGTGGATTTTGAATATTTTTTTCTCCAATTCTATTCAGTTTATTTCTATAGCTCCAATTCACATCATGTCATCTCAGGTCACTTTCCAGTTCACCAGATCATCCAGTCAGATTGATTCAAAGTTTTCTATCTAAGGAAAACCAGCTGATTGCATCGACTCATTGACTCTTCAGCAATCCCTCACACTAAGCATGCTTGTAGCGACAGTGGAGAGGAAAAACTCCCTTTGAACAGGAAGAAACCTCCAGCAGAACCAGGCTCAGAGTGAGCGGCCATCTGCTGAGGCCCACTGGGGTTCAAGGAGACAGAAGCAGAAAAAGAAAAAGAAGCTGTAAAATAATCTGGTCAATCCGTTTTTTGATTGTTTTCCATCATATTTTTAACCCAAAACAGCGCAGCAGCTTTCGGCCACCAGGTGGAGCTCTACCTGGTGGCCTTTGGCTGCGCTGTTAGCAGTTTGTGTTCTCGCTCTGGGGTTCAGTTCAAGAAGCAGGTTTAACAAACTTAAGACTTAAATCCTCAAATGAATTGATGTATCCTGAAACCACGTGGTTTTCAGTTTATTAAAGTTGCTATGAGTTAATTTTATTAACTTTACGTCCACTTAGAGTAAATCATATTTAAATGTCAAATCATTCTGGCTTAAACAAGTATATAAGTGTACTTTTTATCAGATCATATTGTCCCAAAACTTAGGATTTTAATACGATAGAAATTTTCAACATTTTTGGTCTTAAAAATCTGTGTTTTTTTTTTTGTTATCTTCTGCAGGCCAGTTAGTTCTACGTCAGCCTGAACACCTAAATTCAGCCAATCATATATCAACGGTCATCTGTCAATCAAATGTTTTCGGTCATAGCATCTTGATTCATGTGTCGCAGCTAATATACGCAACTGTTGAAACCAGAATCCTTTCCTTTCCCATTGAGTTGCGTCCCAGTGTTCACGGGGATGGACGTCTGTGTCTTCGGCAGGCGTAGAGCTAACAGAACTGGCAGCGTTGCGAGGCAAGGGCTCAAACATGTACGGCTGGAAGCCTTCTACACCAAACCAAGCTTCTGCCGCCCTGGCGTCCTCTTCCACAACATCTTCGTCCCCGCTTTCCTCCTCTAAATAAAAAATGGATGATGGAGGAGACTCATCCACGACCTCCGACACTAAACTCTCCTCCTCTTGCATGTTTCTGCTGTACATTGGTTCCTTGACAGCTTCGTTTCTAAGTCACCAATTTAGTGCTACTTGGTCCCAATGGAATTTCCCATTGGGAACCTGCTAGCACTCAGTTGCTAACTGGTTAGCAAGATGCTTCCCACAAACCGGCTACAACCAAACATGCTTGCGAACCTCCCACCACAACAATCCCCCTCTCTCTGTTGTTCCATTTATAGGTCAGTAAAATAAGATTCTTCCTGATCAAAATCACAATCCTATAAGGAATTGTTATAACACATTTTCCAAATTACATTTTTAATTAAAAAAAAAGTTAAGGGGCTTGCTCTGTGAAGCACATTACATTTTATATATCTAGAAATGTTTACCCACTTTCATTGGCCGTTCTGACATTTATCAGCTTGAAAGAAATGTATTTAATATATCTGAAAAACATTTCTTCATATTCAAAATAATATAAACGCTGACCTGTAATATTAGGAATATAGAGATCTGAAATTAATTTCTAGACATCCAGAATGAAAAATGTCATTTTGTTTGAAATGGTCATTTCAACAAAGAAGAAATATTTTTCAGATATCAGAAAAACATATTTAGTCAAACTAATAAATATCAAATCGGCTTGCCATAGGTGTTGTGACCATGATAACATTCCGGGTTTATTTCTTGAATGATGGTGGATGGATGTATCTATTTAGGTCAAATCATCTGGCAGCAGAATAAAAGCATTGCTCTAATAGATGGGAGCTGTTCATCACCTCATGGGTTACTCCTCATGTTGATTCATTCATTTTTCACACAGTAAATACTAAATGTGTTTGCAGCCGTGCTTCAAATGGTATCATCCCAATAAATGGTCGGTTATCATCCCCATAGAACGGCTTCAGATTGTGACAGTAGGCTCAGTAATTTAGTAATCTGGATTCTTCAACCTTCTGCTAAAAATCCTTCAGATTGTTGCTCAAATCATAAAATCCGTGTCACCAGAACCTTCTTCCTGTTGCACGTCTCTACCACCCATCTGAAGGAGTCTTTCCTCATCGTGATTCAGCCGAACAGAATCTTTCTGTGGTGAACCACCCGGACAGAACAATTAAAGCTCTGAGAAGCGTTGGATCATCACAGTGAGATGCGTTTGGCGTCCAGGTCTGCTGCAGGGAAAACTGCTTGTAGTTCATTTCTGAGCTTCTTTTCCTTTGATTAGCCTGTTTTCTAAATCAGCTCTAACGCAAAATTGGTTCATTCCTTTATTCAGGCAGAAATGGGAAATATGACTAAACTAAAACCTCAGATTACCTCTGGAGTATTTTATGGTTTCTAAAAGAAATATTTACAACATTTCCAGTTGTTTTTTTTTCATATTTTATTAATTCAGTAGTAAAATGTCCAACTTTCCCACTCAGATAAAATTCTAACAAGCATTTCTGATTTTAGCCAATCTATAAACTAAATCTCTATGTAATAACTTGGTATCAGTGGCTTAGTTTGGGTGGATCAGCAGTCCTCGGTGGGTTCCTGATGTAGAACTTAAGGCGGCTCTGGTTCTGCGGATCTTTGTGGTGGTTGAAGAGATGATCCTCGCTGCTTTTTCACGTCTCCCTCGCTTTAAATTCATTACAATTTCGCCATTTTTTGTGTAAACCAGTTTCATGGAAGTGATCCGATCCAGGAAGTACTTCTCTTTACATCATCATCGTGGTAAAAGGAGGCGATGGCTCCCCTGCAGCATGGAACCGTGGATCCTGTGGCTCATCTGTGGCGTCCCCGCTGTAAGCTTCCATGTTCTGCAGGAGAACCACATCGCCTCCTTTCTCCTCCCAAAAGTCTGGGTTTGAGCCGATTCTAGTCCGGGACCTGGTGGCGGTGGTTCCCGTCAGGCGGGTTGCTACTGGGTGGTGGCCAGGATCAGAGGGACCTCTTTGTCGCCGGTGCCGAACAGAGGGAACATCCTCTCAGTGAACTCTGTGTTGGTGTTGAAGCTGTAAATCTCTGAGTTTGACTTCACGTTGAAGAAGGAGACCTGACCCTCCTCCACATCCAGGAAGACGCCCACCTGTCGCAGTTTCGTATGGTGACCTTTCACCTGCAGGACAGAGAGCAGCAGTTAGCAGAGAGAAAGATTAGGTTCCACTAACATTTCTATATAATGCAATAATCCGCCACTGTGGCATTAATGGTTTGATGTTAAAACTTTAATCTGAAATGAATCCGATATGCAAACATTAAATGTAAATTTCTGAACTAGAAGTATTCAGGATTAGATGCAGTTTTAGTTGGAGGTAGACCTTGGTGAGAGGTGGAGCAGTCAGCGCTCTCAGCTGGTTGCCGCTCCACCAGATGGCGTAGTAACCGTTGGTGGGACTCATGTCAAACAGGCCTTTCTTCTGGGCTGACTCACTCACCACACCCAGTTTCCAATCCTTGTTCTCTCCAACAGAAACCTGCAAGGACAAAACACCGGGTGCAACAACACCTATTAGACCCCAGCTTCTGGTTGGGTTTACAGTTTCTGATCTATAGCGTCCCGGTGGGAAACCCGACCCTCAGCCGGATCCCGATCTCCGGCTTCCTTCAGGGCTTCTTCAACCAGTTGACCCGAGTCCCTCCTGGTAATTTCCAAAACTAGAAATTACAACTGATTATTAAATAAACATGTTGCCTGCAAAGTGAATACGTACTGAAATGGGTAAAAACTAAATAAGTTACAAATCTACGTTTTTTGAATAAGGCCCCTTATAGACGCATCTGAACTAATAATATTCAGATTCACTGTCATTCTTAATGTGTTTTCATTGATCGCCGTGTTAATGAGACCCCTGACCTCCTGAACCGCCAGCAATGGGATGTTTTAGCCATTTATCCTGGACTGGCTGAAGCCAGGATGAATTGGAAATCAAATGACTTCCTACGACTTTATCCGTTGGATGATGATGAAGATAGTCAGAGTACCATCTTCATCATCATCTTCTTCAGCACCCTCACATAACCAGAGAAGACTTAGGCATCCTTGTTCCTTTGACAAATCCTGACCGCTTAAATTGAGTTGAACCCAACAGGAGTGAAACCGGATCAACTAGACCGCATGAAGCTGCCAAAGAATCAGGATCAACTTTAAAGGAAGATCTGGTCTCTGGTTTTCTATCGCCAGAATTTTAATCGATGGTTAAACAAGAAAATGTTCTGAGAAAAGAAAAGGGGAAATGAAGACGACAGGATAACAGCAAAATGTACATGAGCTACAACGGAGGTCTTCAACAGGGGGTCCGCTACCCCTGGGGGTCCATGGAGGTACTGCATGGGGGTCGCAACGGTTTCTGTTGATTAGACTTTTTTTTTTATATTCCCCCCTGTAATTATTTCCACTAATTGAAATGTCTTTAAATCCACATGAATTGAACAGACTGTAGTAAACAGATAAATGGAGGCAGAAGATGTCTTTCAGTCATCAATGCTCACATTCAGAGACACAGAGGAGCTCTTTCAAGCTGGACACCGTTTCATTCACAACACCTGTCCCATCAACCAGGAATCAGAAATACTTTAATAATCCCAGGGAGGGATTACTTTAGTTACATTACTCCATCTGTAATAGAGGGACTATAGGACCAGTTTGATAAAACACAGTTTCATACAATATCTATAATAAGGGGCCCCCGCTCCATTCGCCATCAGTTTGGGGTCATTGGCCTGGAAAACGTTTAAGCCTGCTGCTCTAATATGAGTAAGATGTATCCATGACTGGATAACAAATTATCTTTTTACTACAAGGTGTTGAATTCATGATAATGTGTATTTAAGGACATATAAATTAGTGGGAAACATTGCAGGGGGGAAAATAAGTCTAATCAACCAAAAAGCAGTTTAACCCTCACAGACCAATAAAAACTATCCCACTATGCTTCAACATCTCAGTTCACTCCGTGACCGTAACCATGGCGTATTGTCCCATCTGCACCAAGGTCCTGGCCCAGACCTGATTCTCATCTGCGTGGAAAATTTAACCCAGGAAGTCTACTTTATCTTCAGAGTCCTACTCCATGATCCTCACCCTCATCTCACCCTCTGGCCTTCAACCAGATTTGGTAATATTGCATGTTTTATTAGATCCCGATTCTCCTCCTGATGTCCATTTAAAAAAAGTTAGTTCCCATCTCTGAACCCATGGACAGAACCCAATAAAGACATAGATCTTTAACAGTCAACATCTAGATCCTGACCCTCAGAAAGGACTGGACCAGTTAAAGGAAAGTAAAAACCACTTAGATCAAAAAGACTAACGCTTGTGTCCCACCAGGATTCTACAGATTCACGTCATCTTCTCTAGCCAGACCCCAATGGGTGCTCCTCACCTCCCAGTAGTGACGTCCAGAGCTGAATCCTTCCTTGGCGATGACGCAAGACCAGACGTCAAATCTCTGCTGGCTGTTTCGGAAAAACTGCAGCTTCTCTCCTCTCTTGACCTGCTTCCTGTCTTCTGACAGGATCAGGAAGGGGTACGCCGTCACTGGATTCAGCGTCACATCCTCTAGAGTGTCAGAGGGCGACAATCTTCAGACAAAGCTACTGTAGAAATACACCCAGGAGAGTACGGGTCTGCTCACTAAGACCCAACACTAAGGGACGGTTCTGTCGCACTACAGGAAACATTCAGACCTTCTAGACGTTAAGCTGATAAAGAAAAACTGAATTACAGAAATATGAACAGGTTAACGATGGGAGGTAAAGCTCACCTATGTAGGCCCGGGCTTTCTTGAGTCCTAAACCAGGAAAACATTCAGAATAAAAACACAAATCCATAAATGAGAATAGATTGTCTGATAATTCATTGACCTAAACAACAGATGGAAGCAGCGTTTGACCCTGAAGGATCATCAGGAGCAGAGTTGTTTAGCAACCATTACTAGATGGTGTAATATTGCCTAGCGCCATGTTGCCTTCCTGATCGGAGTGTTACATTTGTTTTAAAAGTGAAAATGAAGGCATAACTTGTAAAGTTGAATTTGTGACTCACAGCAGCAGATTCATGCAGTTGTATTTATTGATTTGTATTTGTGTTCAGAAAAACAAAAATTTAATTTTTTAAGATTTTAACACACATACTTGATTTTTTTTTTTGCACCATTCGTTTTGGATCAATTGCAGCAAAACTGAATGGAAGACATTTTTGATGTGCAACTCACAGAACACAATTTGTGTACTTGTACTCACGAATTTGAAGAAGTGTAACTTTTTTGTAATTGTGACAGATTTAAAAAATTACAATTTACAATGCACAAATGGTTTTGCAACAATAGTTCTGAACCATTTTGGGCAAAACTGAGAATCTAAGAGGTTTTTTTTGTGCAACTTGTTGAACAGAATTTGTGTACCTGTACTTAAAATTTGAAAGGTGTAAAACAGATGGAATTCTACAAATACAAAACTTAGAATGTAGCTCACTGTACAACTTCACACTTACAATGCCCAGATAGTTTCTAAACAAAATAACCTTCATAGGTAAAAGTCCAACTTGTAGTTTTCAGATTATTCTAACATGAATTTTTCCCCTAAGTCTAAATAAAGTTTTCCTTGAAACAGAAAAAGTCAGACCTTGTTAGAGGTACGTACCTGTAACATGTTTGCTCTTCTTAATATCTGAGGGGAAAAGGGAAACTAGAGTCAGAAAGCTGCAGGTCCGTGACCATAAACACGAACCCATCCTGGGTTCTGGCTTCACCTTTCAAAGACAGCTGACTCATCCTCAGGGTCCCTCTGCTTCCTCTCAGACTCATCATGCTCTCCGCTGCCATCAGTTCTCCCGCTGGAACTGAAACACCGCCGGGAAACAGACCCGTTAGACAGAGTCTACGCTTGGAGACCAAACCTCTGACGACATTGGACTTACAGGAGTCTCTGGAATCTCTGGAGCCTCTTGAACCTCTGGAGGCTCTTGGACGGAGCTCCCCCATCCAAATTTCATCTACCCTGATCTTCACATCTGACAGGTTGGTCTTTATGTCATCCAGCTGGAAGTGAAGGGAAAAGTCAGAGTCTTCTTCAGCGTTGTCCTGCTTTTCATCCTCCAGAGGAGCCATGGCCTCCTCAAAGCTCTGGAAAAAGAAGAAGAGGAGAAGAAGAAGAAGAAGAAGAGGGGAAAAATAGGTCTTTTAATTCTCGTCTGATTACGTTAACACCTCAAACATCGGATGTTCAGCTGCTACCTGCAGGAAACTGATGTGGTCCTGACTGATGGCCTGAACCTCAAGCGTGGCTCTTCTGTCCTTCAGCTGGCTAAGCTCCGCCTCCAGACGGTTCACCAGCCCTTCCCCCTTCGACATCACACCCTCCAGCTGGCTCTGGATCCCACCCACCACTTGAGTCCGGATTCTGTCCAGTGAGGCCGACACTTCGTCCAGAAGGTGTTCGACATCGCCTCGTTCTTTGTCGGCGTAGTTCTGAGACCAAATCACACAAAAAAACTCGTTGCTTCACCAATATGAACCTAACAGGATAAAGTTCAGAACCAGTCCATGATAATCAGCCAAAATCCGCCAGACATCTTACAAAAACTTTCTGGAAAACAGCAGCTTAGGATGGCTGTGAAAGATTCCAGAAAAACAGGAAGAAACCAGGACCGGATCAAGACCTTTAAACTGGACTTTATGGCTGTTCAGTAGAACATCTCATCAGAGCTCAGGCTGTTTTCAGACCTGCACGCCTTCCAGCTTCCTCTTCAGGTCACCCAAACGGATCTCCTTCTCCTTGATGCGGTTCAGGATCTCCTGCTCTGTCCTCGCCACCAGTTTCTGAACACACAGACGTAGATCACATGAGGACGGTGATGAGAACTCGGGTTGACCAGAGGCCAGGAGTGGGTCCTGTCCTCTCTACCTGTTTTCCAAGTCTCTCGGTCTGGACGGAGACGGTCTTGTGAGTCCGATGTTCCTCAAGGACACAAATGGCGCAGATGCAGCGCTGACATGTCTTACAGAAGACCTGATGAAAGGCAGACGATGTTGAAAACGTTCAGTTGGTGGAACGTCCTCCATTCATTAAGACAAAATCAGAGGAGAGAAGACAACCATGACGAGAAGGAAATACCTATATAGCAAAACGTTATGACCACCATGGGGAATTAGACTGTTGTCTTGCAAATTAAGGGTGTGCATCTTATGACCTGCTAATAAAACCTGGCAGAAGAAAGATCTAAATGACTGACAGCTGATCAAAGTATCAGGATCCACAGAGCATCTCTTAAGCCAATGTGGTGACAAAACAATTTGGAACGAGGACTAAAGGGCTGGTTATCGTCCCGCAGCAGTGTCTCGCAGTTAGCTTGTCGCAGGTATGAAGCTAATATTTTTGAATAATGCCCAATATTGAAGCATGGCCTGCGCTATGTTATTCCACGTCACACGCCAGAAGGACAATCAGGAACTAGCTAGGATTGTGGGCGTCCTTGTGTCGGTTTGACGAGCTTGTTCGCCGTCTACAACCCCTCATCCAACGCCGGACGACACACAGTTCACCCGTGAGGGTTCCCCAAAGACTGGCCAAGGCGCTGCATGTTTTGGCTACGGGTGCAAACCAACAGACCGTCGCTCAGAGCTACACACTAGCGTCCTGCACGGTGTCTGGGATAGAGTCCGAGGTGTGCCAGGCGTGGTGGACGGAGCTACAGCCAGAGATTCTGCCATTAGGTGCCAAACAGGAAATACGCATAGAGTAGAGAGGATGTAGATTTGACCAATCAGAGGCCTCCTGTCTGCGGTCGCCTACAATTGTGGAGAGGCGCAGCAGAGAGTCTGTGGAAGGGGGGGGAGTATCTGCGTTAACTGTGACAGACACGCAGACGGCCTGGTTTCTGAGCATAGACCAGGGTTAATAGAGGCTCTCTGGCAAAAAGTGGAAGTAGAGATGGGGGAAGGTCACCTGGTAGATGAATGATCGTTTATTTTATTTAGCTATGATACAGGGTGAGCGCCTAACTAATGGCACCTGAGGGGTTTGGGGACTCCATGGGTTCCATGTTTAAATGGAGCTCCTATCAGACCATAGAGGAGGTACTCCTTCTTTCAGCCCTCCTGGCCTCAAGAGTCCAATCGCTTTAGGATCTGCTTGATCCACTCAGTCAGGAATTCCCCAGAACTCCAGAGGCTGCAAACAACCTGGTGCTAGATGGTCATTATGAGAACTATGCTTTTTTTCTTGATCTTGATTGTTCAGGATAAAATGGATTGATTTCTGCATTTCAGGCCGAAAGACATTCCTTAAAAATCATGACGGTACATAATAGGAGAGATCAGCTGAGAAGCTAAAATCATTGGACTCCCCAAACCCAACCTTACAGACACAAACCAACAGGCCATTGGACGCTTTTGACTCTCCATAGAACGAGACTCCCCTCACCCACTACAGGACGACCTCATACCCCTGCCCTCTGGACAGAGGTACAGGGCACTCAGGTGTAGAAGGGCCCATTTTGGCAGGAGCCTGATCCTTTCAGCCATCACTTTTTTAAACAACAGGCCCCGTTGAGTGTATCATGTCTCCTATCATGTCTTGTACTTTTGCTGGTGTTGGTGTTTACTAGGGGTGTCTTTTTTTATGTCTTGTGTAAACGAGCTCTGTGTATGTGGAAAAGAATCTCCCCTTTGGGGACAAATAAAGTCTAAAGTCTAAAGCTGTGATGGTCTGAGAGGTTTTTTTAGGATGGACCATCAAGGGTCATCTCTTCTATGATGGTAGGAGGTGGTATTATGGTACAGACTTGGATAATCTGCTAAAAAATAACCTATGGAGGCTTTAGAGGAACATCTCCTGCCCTCAGAACCTCATCTTCACCAGGGATGCCCATCATGCTCAACAGTAGGATAGAAAGCACCGCTCCAGAGACCTGGCTGAGGAAGAGGAGACGAGTCTGAGGGAACTATGGGTTAGGCTGGGACCTGGAGGAAAAATCGGAACTGAAAAATATTTTTCCAGAATGTGTTGGAGGCTAAAATGCAGAAACTGATGGACCCAGAGAACAGCAGAACTTTCCAGGAAAATAAAAGGAAACCAGAAGTTCTAATTCTGCCTGATTTGGGTGGATCGGCTCGGAATCCTTTGCTCTTACCTCCATCAAGCGTCGGTGTATGGAACAGGTGCGGCCCCTGAGGGCCTCCATGGGGTCCATCAGAGGGTGTTTGGCGTAGAAGGGAGTGTTGTAGTGGGGCTGCAGATGCTCATTGCAGTAGGAGGCGGTGCAGGTGAGGCAGGAGCTGACGGCTGGCCGTTTGACGCCGGAGCAGACGTCACACCACACCACATTCTCTGGAGCTGCCGCCGCCGCCTGGGGCGGCGACAGGAACGGGTTGGTACTCCTGCCGTCGTCCATGGAGTCCAGCGCCCCATTCCCGACCGGCGCTGAAAGCCCAGTGGCTCCATAACGGGTCTGTTTGAATTTATCCGCTATGAGAGCAAAGACTTTGTTGATACTGAGCTGCGGACGTTCGTCAAACTGCCGTTTACAGAGAGGACAGGTGCAGACCGAGCTGGAGGCCCAGTAGCCACCGATACACGCCTGCAAAGACACCACAGCACACAGGTCAGACTTCAGCCTCCAGAAACGCTCTAATGAGCCACGCCGCCTCAGGAGGAGCTCACCTGACAAAAGTTGTGTCCACAGGGGGTAGAAACTGGATCAGTGAACAGGTCCAAACAGATGGAGCAGGTCAGTTCCTGTTCTGAGAAGAGTTCTGGTGCCTCTGCCATTATCAGAGACCTGCTGCTGGACAGAAACCCAGAGGAACCAGACATTAATCAGGACCCGTCTTCACCTTCAGCAGAATATTGATATTTAGAACAATATATTTCGTTATTAAATAACTTTATTTTCTCCAAACAAAATGCAGATCCCTGCAAGAAACCTCAGAACCAACAGAATCATGAATGTTAATCATCTCATTTCCTTTCATTGAGGAAGTTCTGAGGTCTTTCAAAGAGCAATCACCAATTTTCAGCACTAGGTGGCGCTTAAACACTAAAACAAAATGTGTATCCATCCACATTACAATCCACAGTTATCCTGAAAACTCTTTCAAACATAGCGAACCTCTGGCACCTTTGGGATTTCCTGTTTTTAAGGCCAACAACAAACTATTCCTTGCAGAGGAAGAATTGTTGACACCCAGACACCAACTGCAAAAGTATTGAGACCCTTTTTTTTTTAAATCTAAATCACTGGTTGCTATGGCGATTGCATTCTCACTTTCAAGACTAAAACAAAAAGTATTCTGGATAAAAAAAATAAAAGTTATATCAAATAAACCGTTGACACGTTGGCATCAGAAACTTCTGTGGTTCATGTTTATGAGTCTGCAGTGTTTCCTGAAATCCAATTAATTAAACAGAACCTTCAGCTCCTGTTTCTCCAGAAGCATCCAGAGCTAAAGTTTACCTGGACTCAATGAATGTGGGCGGTCTCTATGAAAAGGTTCAGGAAGATTCTAAAAAGTCTCATGAAAGTAGGAGGGGCTTGTTGTGGGGATGAGCGCATGGATTTAGCAGATGAGGATGTAGTCAGGGCAAAGGGGAAGTGGAGGCTAACTTAGCATAGCCACTGGACTTTGTTTCCAAGTTTGAAAACGTTTCTCTTCCATCCAGGAAGATTTTTCAATTCAAAACGTCAGAAATAG